GCTGCTGCTGCCGCCCCCCCCGCGCCCCGATGCCCCGGTGATGGCCGCAGCCCTCCAGCCGCTCCGTGTGGAGACGGGGGGGCCGGGGCTCTGCCTGCACCAGCCACCCCCCGACTGCACCCACAGCCAGCCCTGGGGCTGGGGCCCCCCAACTGCTCAAAGCGCGCCCTGGCTGTGCCCCAACCCCTTCTGGGGCTCCCCGGGGGGGCAGGAGGGGCAGCTGCAGGGGAGCCCCCCCTCGTGGCCGCCCATTCCTACCTCATCGGGGGGCCAGGGTGTCCCCATGCTGGAGCCCACCATGCCCTGGGATGTGCCCAGCCTGGAACTGGCACTGATGGGGGGGTCCCAGAGGCAGGGGCCCCCCTCGTCCCAAGAGGAGGGGACGGGCATGTAACGGGACCCCCAGGGTGACTTTTTCAATAAAGAAGTAACGTTAAGAACAGGAGCTGGGGGTCTTGTGTCACCCCCCGGGGTGGCCCCAGGCCCTGGGGACCCCCACATCGGGGCAGGGGAAAACACTTTATTGGAAGGTAACAATCTCCAGCCCTGGGGCTGGGGGCAGGAGGGGCCCAGCACCCCCAAGGAGGCATCTTGAGGGGGACGAGGGGGCCCCAGTGCCAAACTGGGGGCTGTGAGGACCCCCACTCCCCCCATACAGGGCCAGTGGGGGGGACCTGGCAGAGCAGCCCCCAGCCCTCGTCACTGCTGGGCCAGCTTGGCCGCCTCCGCCTTGATGAGGGCAATCAGGTCCTGGTTGATGAGGAAGACGAAGCGGAGGCTGGCGATCTGGGGAGTGGGGAGCAGAGGGTGAGCAGGATGGGACCCCTAGACCCCCTAGGACGCCCCCCCACCTGCATCAGGGCTCACCTCCACCACCGAATTGTTGTTCAGCTTCCACTTGTTGCCACCAAGCACGGGGCGCCCGTCGATGTAGATGGGGCGCCGGCCCTCATTAGCGATGAAGAAATCCCCGTTATTCTTCAACTTGATGATGCCTGGAGGGGGGATATGGGGTGAGGGGGGATATGGGGTGAGGGGGGATATGGGGCGAGAGGAGGGGGGAACGCAGTGCTCCCTGCTCCAGAGCCCCCCAAGACCTGCCCCAGCCCCAGTCCCCATCCCTACCCTGCTTGCGGGAGATCTTCCAGGCCGGTCCCTCCAGTGCCAGGTCCACGTCAATCTGGTTGTCCTTTGTGGCTCTGCCCAGCGTGATCTGGAGGGAAGGAAGTGACAGGGGGCCATGATGAGGCCAGGGGGGCTCCCTGGGGAGTGGGGGGGCTCTGCTAGGGTGAGGGACGGGGGGCACAACACCTGCGCTCACCTCCCGGGAACGCATGAGGTACCGCACCATGCGGCCCCGCAGTACGGCCAGCGTCTGGCTGTCAAAGTCCGGGGAGCTCATGCCTGCAGGAAGGAGGAGGGAGAGGGGTGGAGGGACAGACAGACAGCTGGGGGGATGGACAGATGGCCCCCCCTCGCTCCTAGCTCTCACCTGTGATGCTATCGACCAGCACCTGCCACTTGTGCAGCTCCTGCTCCAGCTGCCGGATCTCCCTCTTCTGGCGCCGGTCGGCCACGGTCAGCTCTGGGGAAAAAGGGAGGTGTGGAGGGTGGGGGGCACCTATCCCCCATCCTGGGGGGGTCCTGGGCCTCTCCCCACCAATTCAGGCTGCCCAGATGGGAGCGGGCTGGACTCACCGTGCTCTAGCACCTCGTCCCGCACATCCCTGCAGGGGAGAAGAGGCAGGATGAAACTGTGCTACCCCCCAGCCATGGCCCCTCTCCCTACCCCAGCCCCCCAAAACCCTCACTTCAGCTTGCTGTCATCAAGCATGTCCTCAGCATCCGAGAAGTTCAGCACTTGGTCCCCCTTGGGCAGCGGCTGCACTGAAAGGAGCAGGAGGAGAAGGAGTGAGGGGGCTGGCGGGGGGCACAGGGGACACAGGGGACACAGGGGACCCTCCCGGCCTCACCAGTCTGGTCATCCAGCAGGTAGTACTGCTTCATGAGCTGCCAGTGGAGCTGCAGAGCTTTGGCCGTCCGGGAGGGGTAAAAGACGTCAGGATGCTTGTGGAGCAGCTCCTGGAAGGTGTCGAGCGTGGGCTGGCTAGTCTGCGGAGGAGAAAAGGAAAACATGGCAGCAAGGACCCCCATCGAGAGCCCAAAACCCCAGACTAGAACCCCCCCATCCCACTCCACTCCCGGCTGGCTCTTACCGATCCCACCTTGTTCAGCAGCTGCTCCTCAGCTTTGCTGAACAGCACTTTGCTCTGGATGGCGGCGATCGCCTCGGGGTGCAGCTGCCGCATGGCCTGGCAGGCCAGCCTGGTGTGGGAGGGAAATCACAGTGTGAGAGCCCCCACCGGCCCCCACCTGGGATGGCTCTACCCCTCCGGGCCTGTCCCGCACTCACTTGGAGATGATGGGGTCGTAGAGGAGCGCGTACCACCGCTCCTGGATCTCCCGCAGGTTGAAGCGGCAGCTGAACTTCACGCCCAAGTGCACGGAGGTCAAGTCATTGGTCTGGAAAAGTCCCCAGGTGAGGGGACAGTCCCATGGAGGGCCAACCCCAAAACACAGTGATGGCAAACACCCTCCTGTGAGGGTCCCCAGGGGGACAAGCAGCTTCCCCTGGGGTCGTTACCTGCAGCACAGCATTAATGAGCAAAAGGTCATCAGCGGGTTTCCAGCGGCCCAGGTCCTTCGTCACTTGCAGGGGCTGTTTGCTCTTCTTCATCCGCTTGGCGAGGCCGGGGGTCGGGACTGGGCTGGGTGCGATGGGGGTGGACACAGACTTGGAGACCTGGGTGGGCAGAGGCGAGGTTTCGGGGTCTCTCTGAGCTCCCCAGACCCCTGGCCGGCCCCTGGATGTCCCCACCAGCCCCTTACCTTCTTTTTCTCACTAGAGGAGGGCTCGCTGCCTGAGCAGCGCCCGGGCTCGACCCCACCGGCGCCCTTGGCCCGGCTAGAGGATTTGGCAAGGCTGCTCTCTACCAGCTCATCATCAAACTTCTTCCGCTTGATAAAGCTGGAAAAAACGAAGACAGCTTTGAGTCCCGGTGTCCGCAGGCCACCATCTCCTGCAGACAGGCAGGCAGCAGGCAAGGCTCAGCCCTGCACCCCCCCTCTCCCACCCTGGCGTACCGCGAGGAGCTGCGGCGCTTGGGGATGGCACCCGAGGCTTGGGCCGAACCCCGCTTTTGCCCCGCCAGTGACTCCTCGTCCTCGGAGCGGCTCGTTGCGCCCGACGCCATCAGTCCGGAGAGCAGCACGTCTGTGGGGGACAGAAGAGAGAGGGGGGTCACCAGTTGCGCCCCAAAAGCTAACCTGCAAAACCTCTGGGCTCCCCATTGCAGCTGGGGGTGCAGCATTCCAGGGGGCTTTTGGGGGGGTGACAACGACACGACTCCAGCCCTGTAGGGATCAGGGGCGATGCTGGGAATGCGGGGACAAGCATGAGGACATGGGGGAAGTAAAGTGGTCGCG